TTTTTTTTTTTTTTTTTTAGCTTGCTCTTGTGCCACGTGGATGAAATAATCGGGCTTGGATTTTTAGGGGTTTTGTTTGGTCTTTTGGTTTCTCTGACACAGCGAATTTCTAAAAAGCTTCTGCAAAATCAGACCTCGCTTCGCACTCTGCCTTTTCCCTGCCCCACCTTGGGAGGGTGGATCAGGGGTTCTCGCCCAGCTTTGCCACCGCCAGGTGTTAGACCTTGATGGGTCAGGTCACCCATGGGGACGCGGCCCTCAGGTTTTGTGAGCCAGCCCCTGTGCCTCTTTCCTTTTCAGTCCTGCCTCCCGTGCTTCCCGCTTTCACCGTCTTTCCTCCGTCCTGCCCACCACCGCAGACCCGATTCTTTCTCTCTATCATAGACTGTGCAAATCCAGGGAAATGTTAGATTCCAGGTCACTCGGGAGAATTTCCAGGGACTCGGGACACTGGCGCTCAACGACAGTGGCTTTCCCACAAGCCACAAGGAAACATGCGTGCCCCGCAGTGCACCCCAACAATAAAGAGGGTGAAGACCGGGAGATCTGGATTGCTGCGTCCTCTGATTAGTTGTGGAATTTAGGCACGTTTTAAAAATTCTTTGGGCTTAAGTGTCCTCCTGTGTATCGTGGAAGCCGCTCAGACCTACACTGTCCTGCCAGTCCCAGGCAAGGGAAAAAGCCCCAGGAAGATGCTCAAAACCAGTTGTTCCCTGACTTCCATTTTCACTTCTATTGGGAACTTGATTGCTGATAGGTGAAAACTTACTTCTCTGCAGCCTCCTTCCCTTCTAGGGCTTTCCCAGCACAGGGCCACGTGAACTGCAGGGTCCGGCTAGAATCGGCCTCTTGCTATCAGCCGGGGGCCCTTCGTGCTACACACTCTCTGCTGCCTAGATTTAGGACTGAAGGGAATTTAAAAGACTATCAAGTCAGCCTTTTCCAAATTTGCCTTTCCTGAAGAATCACCTGGATGCTTGTTAGAAAATAGATTCCCAAATCTCTAAACCCATGGAATCAGATTCTAGGGAAAAGAACTGAGGATTAGCATTTTTGGCAAGGCCCACATGATGCTCGACATAAGTGGTTGACAGTGGGTATTTGGCAGATGTTTAAGCATAGAGTGTCTGGGCCAGGAGCGGTGGCTTACGCCTGTAATCCTAGCACTTTGGGAGGCCGAGGCAGTCGGATTGCCTGAGCTCAGGAGTTCGAGAACAACCTGGGCAACATGGTAAAACCCTATCTCCACTGTAATACAAAAGAAATTAGCTGGGTGTGGCGGCATGTGCCTGTAATCCGAGCTACTTGGAAGGCTGGGGGTAGGAGAATTGCTTGAACCCAGGAGGCAGAGGTTGCAGTGAGCCGGGATTGCGCCACTGCACTCCAGCCTGGGTGACAGAGGAAAACTCCATCTCTACAAAAAAAAAAAAAAAAAAAAAAAAAAAAAAAAAAAAAAAGAAAAAAAACATAGAGCGTCTGAAGCAAGAAGCATCTTTCCTGGAGAACCTGGGTCCTAAGGATTTCATCTTCACATCAGGGAGATAAGGCAGGCTGTTAGGGAATAATTGGGTTAGCACAAGTATTGCTCCCCTAGGGACTCCCACACTTAGCTGGCAACCCTTTAGACGAGAGATGCCCAGGGTCTTGAAATTGGCCTCCCGCCTGACAGGATGCTGGATCTCCATGCAGTCTTGGAGCTAGGTCTCCCACATGAGTCAGCCCACACAGTCATTAAGGGCCTCGCCCACATTTCCTAACTTCCCTTGTTTCAGGTCCTGTCCCCATCCGCCACCAGCTCTGCCCTGAGCCATTTCCCAGGCTCTTACCCCTTCTCCTCTCACAACAGCCCAGAAGTGGATAAAGAAGCCCTGGATGTCGGATTTCTTGTTTAGGTCCCTGAGATGTGTCTCTGTTCACATTTTGGGTTTGGAAACAAGGATGGATGACCTCATCTCTTTCCCACCTCTTCCCCATAGTCAACTTCCTTCTCTACTTCAACCACAGATCAAACCAGATTTTTCTTTGAAAGTGATAGGGCATTTGAAATCTCACTCCATTACATGAGCCCTGCCTACCTCAGTCTCTATGCCTTCCTATTGATTTCACCTGACCACCTCTTCAAGCTGCAGGACAAAACTCAGGTTTCCCAGGAAGACTTTCTCGACTCCCCACCGACCTAGCCCTCTGTTCTGCGCGCTGTCTTCCACCTCTGGACTCCAACAATAGTCATTATTATAGCAGCTCCTCCCCCATTGTATTCTGATTATGTCCAGGTTCTGTGCCAAGCATTTTACATGGATCATCTTATTTAATTTTCATGGCATCCCTCCAAAGTAGGTTCTATTCTTAGGCTTTTTTTACTGACTAGGAAACCAAAGCTTAGGGAGGTTAGGCAACGTACCCAAGGTCACAGAAGCAGTAGAGCCAGCCAGGACTCAAACACAGGTCTGCCTGCCTGACCACAAAGCCCTTGCTTTGAACCGCACTGGCCTCTGCCTGTCGGTAGCCCTCACTTTCTGCCAGTCCCATTCGGGGCTCACATCCTGCGCTATCTTCTCCTGTTATCTAACGGTTTTGCGTGTGGCAATCCTGTATCCCCAGTGAGGCTGTCAGTTAGTTCAAACAGGCCAGCCCCGTGCTGGGAACAGAGAGCGTTTCCCTCAAACCATCCAGGCATAGAAGCATCCATTCATCTTAAATGTAAAGGCCCTCAGAGGAAGAGCTCTAACAAGCCTAATTACTCTGACTACAACCAAACAGCCCTCATTGTCAGAGAGTTCTTTATGTCTCATCGCAGGACCTCTGCCACACCATAAACCAACTTCCTTTTTTTTCTCATCTCTAGCCCTTGGAAAGCAGTAGCCAGTAGTGGTTCAGAAAATGGGCATCAGGATCTCAGTCCTGGAGCTTGGCCCCACTCATGAGCTGTGTATCAGTAAGCCCGTTTCTTCAACTGTAAAATGGGAGCGTACATTTCTCGAGCCTCACAGGGTTGCTTTGAAAATTAAATGAAATATTGTGCATAAAACATTTCACAATGTGTTTGGCATATCGTACAGATCCAATAAATGGTGGTTACTATTTAATTCTGTTTATTCTTTCCCATTGTATCAAATACTAAACCTCTGATTATACAAGTCTCTCCCTCTCACCCCCTGCCACGTGTGTACGCGTGCACATACACATAGTCTTTCAGAAACATTTTTTCAGCTAGGCGCAGTGGCTCACACCTGTAATCCCAACACTTTGGGAGGCTGAGGTGGGTGGATCGCCTGAGGTCAAGAGTTCGAGACCAGCCTGGCCAACATGGCAAAACCTGTCTCTACTAAAAAACAAAAATTAGCCGGGTGTGGTGGCGGGCGCCTGTAATCCCAGCTTCTCAGGAGGCTGAGGCACAAGAATCGCTTGAACCCGGGAGGCAGAGGCTGCAGTGAGCTGAGATCGTGCCACTGCATTCCAGCCTGGGTAACAGAGCGAGTCAGTCTCAAAGAAAAGAAATAGATAAAAAGAAAAGAAACATTTTTTCCTCTCTATCCTCTTTAGGTGTCTAAGGTTTATGGATTTTGAGACCTCTGAAACTGAGAAATGGATAGCAGCAAAACCTTGGGAGGCACCTCCCCTTTGCTTTTTGGTCTGAGTGTGCCTTAATTTGGGAGGAAGAGAAACACCACACTGTCTCCCAACCTGTGCCCAAGAAAACAGGTGCTGACAAGACCCTGCAGGAGGTGGAAAGGGAAACTGAACCAACGACCTTTACCAAGAGACAGGGAGAGAACCACCAGGTGCTTGTCTTTGCAAGACTGGAAAGATTTTTTTCTTCCCATGACTTTCTGTGAGTGGCTGTTTGGTTTGGGTTATGTTACAGCCCCTCTGTCCCTGGGCCCTTGCAGATAGAGTGGAGAATTTGTGATTTGAGTTTGAGGGAGAACTAGAGATGGGGTGGGGGATCCCCTCTGCTTCTCAACGTCAACCGCAAAGCTCCAGACACTTCATTGCCAGCACAGAAGTACAAATTAGCTTTCTGCCATCACACAATTATGCAGTTCTATCCATCAAGGGTGTGGTGGGAAAGTGAATTGGAGAGACAGCTGGTGGGGATACTGAGTGGAAAGGGAAGAGAAGTGGAGATGGCTGGGGTAGGCATGGAGAAGCCATTCTTTCCAGGCAGAAGGGAAGTTGTCATGGAGATGGGCTGGATCCATGACTTTCTGGAAGGAAAAGGAAGCCTGGATGATCAGAGCTGCAAGTCAAGGCAGATCTCAGTCCATTGATTAGTCCATTGATTATGGTAGCTCTTCAGGTGCCTTTT